GCATCTCCTGCCACCCCAGGTGGGCTTTGGGGGGGCGCAAGGGGGCAGAGAAACAGGAACTGGGTTGTCGTAGGGGTTTCTTTATCTCTCTACTCCCAGGGGAATTTTTGTGTGTCTGTATTGTTACAGACATGCCTGCTGACAGGTATTTTGAAATAAATTACCAAAATAATTGAAACTGGTATGATTATGTAGTGTTATTTTGACAAATAAAATTTGCAGAATTTTTATTTTTTTGCCGCAGAATGGTCCCAGGAATATTATATGGCTGGTGGATATGCTCCAGCTCCTGGGGTCTTGCAGTTCAATGGCTTGCACAGCAGAAGTCCAAAGGATGCTCCTGAATGGCAATCCTTCCTCATGGTGGTAACATGTTGCCCACTGTCCCATACACGATTCCAGAGCTACAGTTTTATCTCATTCACCAGACTTGTATGTGTCGCTATAACCAGCAAATCTGAATACCATCAAATGCTATTACATTTTCTTTTCAAGTGGAGAAAGAGAGAAACACTAACCTTATGCGAACTGTGTCTGCTGTGGAACAGCTGCTGCGCCTGGTGCTGGCTGCTGTTATGAGTCCCTGCTTCTCGGAGAATAGCGACTGTCTGCGATTTCACTGGTCTGGAGATTGTTAAATTCACCCTTTCCCCGCTAGCCTGAGGGAGAGATGTGCAAAATGAAAATAATAATAAAGTTCTCACTGTATTGTTATTAATTAAGAGATGAGGGATGGTCTTGTGGCTAAGGTACTGAGCTGGCACTTGAGAGATCTGGGTTCAATCCCTGGCACTGCTTCAGACTTCCTGTGTGATGCTGGGCAAGTGATTTATTTTTTCCTGCCTCAGTTCCCCATCTATAAAATGGAGATATTAATACTTTCTTTTCTCTCCCTTTCTCTTGTCTGTTCAGACTGTAAACTCTGTGACAGGGTCTGTCTCTGAGTACATACAACGAAGCCCCCAGTTTCAGTTCAGTTTCAGGCACTTTGGTAATACAAGGAAATAATAACAAGAAAATGGACTGAGTACACTGACAGATGATGATTTTATAGTTTTCAAAACTACTCAATGTTTCAAATCTTAATAGATATTTAAAAACAAATTATTTACCTAGAATAACTAACTTTGTAAGCAGATTCAGAAAATTTGTTGAAGAAGTTGGAGAGAATATATAATCAGACCACCAAACTGTGTAGTTTTGGGGACTATACAAAAGCTCAATGGTTACCCTAATATTCCAAAATCCCAACACCAAGATCTCCAAATAGAAATCTGACCTCTTCAAAATCTCAATATATTGAAAAACGGACAAAAAAAACAACACAAGATTATTAGAATTTCCCGCTAATTACAAGAGATATTTAAGATGAAATTTAAATTATACAAGCAAATAACCCCCACCAGTATCACAAGTCTCCAACTGTTGTTGGAGTATGGAGTTACAGTATTCTACATAGTCCTAGTGTTTAGGTAAGGTGGTTTACTGGATGAGTACATGGCTTAGAATCAGACCCCCGCCTCCACCTCCAGCTTTGCCATTGATTGGTTATGTGACCCTTGGGCAAGTTACTTCCTTTTTAATCCCCATTTTACAGATAGGGAAACTGAGGCACAATGCGACCTACTTTCATAAAGCTTTTTGACATCTAGCGATAGAGAGAGTGATAAGTACACAGTATCATGATCTTCCTTGATTTCTTCTATTAGACTCCAGACTACACTGAGATCACCTTATACATATGAATAGTCTTATAACTTTCAGTAAGCTATGGCACACACTGGAGGAGGCCAACACACTTTTCACTTCTGGCCACATCGGTTCAATTTCTAGGTTTCGTCTGAGGGGGTGGGTGTCTGCAGTGCATTTTGCACTATTGTGACTGAAAACACCCACTGTATTCACACCTACACACCATTGTAATAACAATCGTACAAAATATGCCTTGTGAGGTATCATTTGAAAACTAATAACTTGCTGGTCAATAATATCATGGTGAAATACATGTAGCAACATTATATGTGAAGTTATGAATTCCCCCTGTATTATGATGTTAGCATATGTTCAAACTCACACGGGCCTGACTAGGCAAAGGGTGTTAAATGGGTCTATCGTAGGCAAAGGAATGCGTGTTTACCTCAATTTACATTTAAGAAGTAAACAGGATCCTTGAAACAGCATGAGGGGGAAATGGCAGGAGACAAGGCAAATCTGCATTTCAGCACGCATGGGGAAGAAAGAGCATGGAGCCACCTTCACCACCAGCCTCCACATCACCTTCTTTACTGTTTGAGTAAACTTTGCTTTGAGGGGTAATCCTCAGAAGAATCCACTTCAAAGGGTGACTGGACTATAAAAGTGAGGGGCAAAAACACGCCAAGGCATCTCTCGATCTCTTTCGCTCACTTAAGTCGACTAAGGAGCCAGCCCTTTGACATAAGGGAAGATCCTAACCTGTGAATTTGGTCAGCAATGTTGCTGGAAACCTGTGGTAAGAATTTTACTTTGAACCAAGTCTAGCTTGTTAAGTTTAGCTACTAGAAAGCATTTTATCTTTATTTCTCTTGTAACCATTTCTGATTTTAATGTCTTTTACTTGTACTCACTTACAATCTCTCTCTTTGTCGTTAAATACATTTATTTTATTTTTTTAATCAAAGCTAATCCAGTGTTGTGTTTAAACTGAGCTGTTTAGGTAACTCCAGTTCAAGTAGCAAACTGTTGCATATTGACCCTTTACAGAGGCCTCTAATATCTGAACTGCCCAAGAGAGGGCTGGACAGTGCAGAACACATCTTTTGGGGGAAAATCTGGGATTGGGAATGTGTTGGGGCCACCCTGCAAGGAGTAACCAAGGCTGGTGGAAGCCAGAATGTGACTGGAGTGTTGCTGACAGGCTGCTGGGGTCAGAACTGTAGTTAAACACAGACACTCAGGGTGTTGCCTGCATGCTGTTCGCCTGTTTGTGAGTGGCCCAGTTTGGGAGCTGTTTCAGTAAAGCACTGTGAGGCGCCCAGTGTTAGGGAGCAGGCAGTGACACAACCTCTTACCAGTCTGGATTGCACCCCGGAATGTGACAACTCTATAAAACTATATTATAAGATTCCAGGAATGTCGCTCTGTGTTATTCTGAAGCCTAAAATGGCTGTAAAGTCAGTGTGAAGTAATAGAATCAGCTACAAGCATGGTTGGAGCTCCTTTTGTACAGAATATCAGCAGGTTGTATCTTCACTGGGTTTTGCAATCTGTTACCATCCAATTTTTAAGTTCTCAGCCATTTTGACTTCACAAATTACACCAGAAAGGCATGTATCTATGCCATGCCAAGAGTCCCAGACCATTGCAATAACAGAGGTGACACAACCAATCACCATCATTACTCTACAGGTAATTTGCATGCAACAATTTCATTGGCTGTATGAGGGAGACTGCACAGATACTTGGCCCAGCTGCCACACCTGCGCACTCAACTACTACCTGCACAAACCAACACAAATCTCCAAACATAACCCCCAACAAATCAACAAAATCACCCCTCTGCACAACACAACCAGCATGCAAATCACCACTACTACCCCTCAATGCAGCACACACCCCTCATTTGCCACCCACACAACTCTCCCAGCCCAACACAACCCACACACAAATCAATGCAACCACCTGTGACACCTGGCACCCCAATATTCACCACTGTCATGTAATTAGGATATGTTTTGTGCAAAGTCTGCCTTGTGAGGTATCATTCTAAAAATCTAGTTCTGCTAGACATTAATATCTCATTGGATTGTATGTGCTACCGTCCTATGTGAAGTTATGAAGTTTGGCTATGTATGTGAGGCATGTGAAACATGTTGTGAGGTTGAAAAACCACCCAAAAGCAGCCTTTCAGGTACAACAGTAAAAAGGACAAAGTTAATGGCTTATTGAGGAAATGCACACAAGCACAAGGATTACCCCAGGAACTGTGTACAATAGAAACCTGTCAGAGATAGCAATGGGAACTGTTTGACCCACATCACAGCAAAAGAGCACTCCAGCAAGTGGGAAGAAGATATAAAAGGGGGACAATGACATCATGGTGGGACCTCACTCTCTCTACAACAACACACCTGGAAACACCTGAGGGGCAAGGACTGAACTGTGGGAAGTGATGGTCCCAGGCTAGAGGGATTTTTAGCTTGTGTATGAAAACCTGGGAAATCCAAGGCACCTTGTGCCTTAAGAATCTGCCAGCCTCTTTATCATTCAGGGTGAGAATTTGCTAATTCATATTCTACCTATCTAGTGTGTTAAGCTCAGTTTGTGGTTTTGTTTATTTACTAAGGTAATCTGCTTTGATCCGTGTGCTCTCACTTATAATCACTTAAAATCTATCTTTTGTAGTTACTAAGGCTTGGTCTACACTAAACCCCCAAATCGAACTAAGGTACGCAACTTCAGCTACGTGAATAACGTAGCTGAAGTCGACGTACCTTAGTTCGAACTTACCGCGGTCCAGACGCGGCAGGCAGGCTCCCCCGTCAATGCCGTGTACTCCTCGCGGCGAGCAGGATTACCGGAGTCGACGGGGAGCACTTCTGAGTTCGATTTATCGCGTCCAGACAAGATGCGATAAATCGAACCCAGAAGTTCGATTGCCTGCCGCCGAACCAGCGCGTAAGTATAGACAAGCCCTAGACTTGTTTCTGTTTTGTCTAAAACCGGTGTGTAAAAATTATAACTTGGGGCAGAAAGTTGTTCCATCTCTCTCTCCACATTGAGGGAGGGGAGACGTATGAGCTTACGCTGTACAGTTCCCTGTGCAGTGCAAGATAGTATAATTTTGGATTTACACTCCAGAGGGGGGGTGTGCCTTAGCAACTGGGAGGTGCCTTAGCTGAGCCTTCCCATGCAGAGCTGATCTCAGCATCTATGTGAAGCTGCAGCTGAGTGTGTCCCTACCTCTGTGTATGCTGGTGAAAGAGCAAGCTTGGAGAGCTTAGCAATTTATCACAGCACCCCAGTGCAAGAGGGAGCCCAGGCTGGTGGATCAGGCGGGCTCAGTGGTACCCCAGTTCCAGGTGCCACTCTGGGGGGAATCCGTCACATCACCCCCATACAATAACCCCAAATATCACCCTGAAGCCTAGAAAGTCTGTTGAGTCAGTGGGAAGGAAATGGAATTAGCTAAAATCATGGCTGGGAAATCTTTTTGTTTGGAATATCACTAGGTTCAATCATCACTGGGATTCACAGTCTGTTTCCATCCAATTTTTAAGTTCTCAACTGTTTTGTTTGTTTGTTTTTAAACACACACATCTTTATAAAATTACCTGAGCGACAGCAAAGGCTTTCAGCTACTAGTAATGAGTAACATCTGCCAAAACCACTATACAGTTTAGGCACAATACACAAGTTGTTCTGTACTGTACTATGCCATTTTGGGGTGAAATTTGGCGATACGTACAATAAGTGTCTTGACATATAATACATTTTAAAGTTTCAGACTGAATAAAGTACCCCATTAGAGTTTACCTGGATAATCTGAGCAGCAAGTTCCGGTGTCCCATGTTTCAGGTCATGTCCGTTGATTGCGAGTACCCGGTCATTGCTGCAGAGTCTGCCATCTTGAGCAGCCAATCCCCCTTCCAAAAGGTCGAGGATAAAAACTCCTGGCTCATCTGTTCTGCGCACTAATTTAATGCCAAGCTGTTCACTGGAGTCTCGTTTATGCAGCGTCACCTGAAAGCCGTCTTCTCGCAGCGAAGTGCTGTCACCATGGTTGTGTGTCCGGCTTCCAAATCGTCTCTCTCGGAGCACCGTGAGATGCAGCACCATGCAGGGCTGGGAAAGAACAGCTCGAGCACGGTTATGGGACATGTTGCTGATGTCAAAGTTATTGACCTGGAAAACAAGTAAAACAATATTCATATCTGTTTACTTGTTTCTAGATGTATCAATAAAATCCTTGCCAAGTTCAGAGATCCTGTTACAAACCTCTAATAGTCTATACCTGGAATTATCTACTTATCCCACTGTGCTCCTTCCCTCTCTCCATTCAATTCTCTCCTAAATAAACACTTTATCAGCTGAGCCTACAAAGCTAACCCACATCAACATTACGCCATCACTACTGCAATTAACACTAACTTTCACCACATTCTAAATTACTGCCATCCTCTCAGTCTCCCAGTGCATTTGCGTCTGGTCATCCTGGGTCTTTCACCCTGTATGCTCAGGGCAGGAGCTGTTTGTTCTATTTAAAGTGACAGCCAAACACATTGCTGTCACTTTAAATACGAGTAGCTTTAAAAAGAACCTGTAAAATTCTTTAAAGAAAGGAATTTTAAGGATGAGTTTATAATCTTACAACTTTTACAAAAAGTAGTGTTTCTGAGAATGGAATTGCAGTAAATGCAGGTGTTTTGTATCAGAAGAGTACCAGTTGGGATACGTGCTCAGATATTCAACCAGTCAGATTACCAGATTGGCTGAACACTGCTAAACCTATAAAATTTGGCCTATAGTACAATATGTTGTAGAATACTGTTTTTGACTACTGGACAATTCTAATTCATATTTAGAGTGTGAAGAAAATATTTTTTTTTTCATATATTTCAGCATACTTTATATTACTATACTTTAGGGCAACATATAAATGTATCTGAATTATAGGATGTCCATTTCACAGTTTATCAGCTTCATTTTGCAGTCCTAGCGCTCAGGAACAGAAATGTAAATGAGACACCATACAAGTACACAAAGAAGCAGAGACAGATGCTGTCTTGGATGCCAGTTCAAGACCATCTATATTAAGTCATGCACCTCGTTACAGAGAGAAATTAGCACTGCTGGGCTGAAATACCAACGTCTGAGCTACAATCAAATAATTCAAAAGTGTGCAAGATGCAGAATATTAAATTAAGTCTATCATTCCTATTATCATACCTTTTTTTTTTTAAAACAACTCCACCTCAAATCTGATCTGATTTTATTGACTTCTATCTGAAAACTATTAGAGCTAGACTCAGTGCTGGAAGTGGTCTGAAGGCTTGGAATTTCAGCTAATGCTTTGAAAACATTAATCTTTAACTCTTAGGAATTCTAGAATATTGGCTGCTAAAATAGTAGGAATGGGAGGGGAAGAGAGATAGTGAGTCTGAATAAATTGACTTTAATAACTTTGGTAATACACAACACAAATTTTCTTCCTCTCCTAGGAAAATGAGAGCACCTTGGAGTTTCATGCTACTGCTGCGATCTTGAGCAATTCCCTGTTTCCACATTCAGAATGACCACAGCACAGTTAAGTGGAGGAAAATATTAGACTTAGGGGAAAAAAGCATAAAGTCAAAATTTTTTCAATATAATTGGACCATTGTAGCTCTTCTTCAACATGGAAACAAACTGTTTACGCTAACAACAACATGAGACTCAAGTATCAGAGGGGTAGCCGTGTTAGTCTGAATCTGTAAAAAGCAACAGAGGGTCCTGTGGCACCTTTAAGACTAACAGAAGTATTGCATCTGAAGAAGTGAGGTTCTTACCCACAAAAGCTTATGCTCCCAATACAGACCCTCTGTTGCTTTTAACATGAGACTCAGACTCTCAGATGTCTCTGGAAGAGGGAAACATTGAGGAGGTACAAATATTCACTAACATGTTCTTAGAAAGCTCTGAAGCGAATGCCAAGATTTCCAGAAATGAGTGCTTAACTTTACACATTCAAGTTTTGAAACCCTTGGCCTTAAGTTTTACATGTCTGATACTGAAGAGCAGCAAAATTTTTGGAACTATAAAGGTTAAATCAGATGACACCTTCACTTTAAAATTCTGTAACTCAACACCCACCAGCGCTACAGAAACTTTGGTGGGCTGGTATAAATACTTTCGGGCCTGTAAACTGTAAACTAGAGCTGGGGAGGAAACGTTTTTCCAGCCCTGTAAACATTTGAGATTTCAGAAATGCTTCCCATTGTACATTGGGATAGGACTTCTTGAAGCTTTTCACAAAAACAAAACAAAAACCAAACAGGGACACAAACAGACTATCCTAGCAGGAAGGGCACTTACCTAGGACGTGGGTGACCCAGGTTCAAGTTCCTGCACTATGCCAGGCAGAGCAGGGACTTGAAGCTGACTTCCTCACATTCCAGGTGAGTACCCTACCCACTGGGCTACTAGCTATTCTTTGGGTGAATCTGTGTCTCTGGGTTTTGACCTGGAATTTTGTCCTGGACCTAAGAAACCTCTCTTGAATGAAGTTTTATCCAAACCAATATACTTCTGTGAAAAGGTTTCTTTCTGATTATGATTAATCCCAAGGTAAAAAGTGTAATATATTTTTAAAAAATCAACAGTTAAAATGCAGAAGTGTTAGGGTGAAACCCTGGTCCCATTTAAGTTAATAGCAAACTTCTGTTGATATAAATGGGCTTAAGTTTTGCCCTTACAGCCTGTATTGTTAATTTAAAAACCAAACCAAACAGTACATAAACTGCTAGACCTGTTGACTCACTACTCTGATATGCACTAATACAATAACTGAGATATCTGAGCCATTAATGATTCTCTTCAAAAAGTCATGGAAGACGGGGGAGATTCCAGAGGACTGGAAAAGGGCAAATATAGTGCCAATCCATAAAAAGGAAAATAAGGACAACCTGGGGAGTTACAGACCAGTCAGCTTAACTTCAGTACCTGGAAAGATAATGGAGCAAATAATTCAAGCAATCAATTTGCAAACACCTAGAAGATAATAAGGTGATAAATAACAGTCAGTATAGATTAGTCAAGAACAAATAATAGCAACAACCACCTAATAGCTTTCTTTGACAGGGTAACAAGCCTTGTGGATATGGGGGAAGCAGTAGGTGTAGTATATCTTGACACTGTCTCATATGACCTTCTCATAAACTAGGGAAATACAACCTAGATGGAACTACTATAATGTGGGTGCATAACTGGTTGGAAAAACATTCCCAGAGAGTAGTTATCAGTGGTTCACAGTCAAGCTGGAAGGGCATATTGAGTGGGGTCCCACAGAAATTGGTTCTGGGTCCAGTTCTGTTCAATATCTTCATCAATGATGTAGATAATGGCATGGAGAGTACACTTATAAAGTTTGCGGGTGATACCAAGCTGGGAGGGGTTGCAAGTGCTTTGGAGGATAGGATTAAAATTCAAAATGATCTGGACAAACTGAATAAATGGTCTGACGTAAACAAGATGAAATTCAGTAAGGACAAAGGCAAAGTCGTCTACTTAGACAGGAACAATCAGTTGCACACTGAAGTATTGTGTCCAGTACTGGGCATCACATTTCAGGAAAGATGTGGACAAGCTGGAGAAAGCCCAGAGAAGAGCACACACACACAAAAAAAGATTAAAGTCCTATAAAATATGACCCGTGAGGGAAGATTGAAAAAACTGGGTTTGTTTAGTCTGGAGAAGAGAAGACTCAAAGGGAACATGGTAACAGTTTTCAAATACATAACAGGTTCTTACAAGGAAGAGGGAAATAACTAGTTCTTGTTAACCTCTGAGGATAGGACAAGAAGCAATGGGGTTAAATTGCAGCAAGGGTGGTTTAGGTTGGACATTAGGAAAAACTTTGTAACTGTCAATGTAGTTAAGCACTGGAATAAATTGCCTAGGGAGGTTGTGGAATCTCCATCATTGGAGATTTTCAAGACTAGATGACCTCTTGAGGTCCCTTCCAGTCCTACGAATCTCTGATTCTAGGAATATAAAGTATTTCTTTTTATGGCAGAAATGTTTCTAGAGGATCAATTCAGTACGAGCATTTCCTGCAGTCCTAAAACAATAAATACACCTGATACATCAATGAGATTTGACAGAGAAAAAACAAAGTAGAAAAAAAATCAAAAACATCTGCCTGTAACAATGAATTTAAACATTAAGTATCTGAGTCAAATCCACAAAAAGTAAGGGAAATTCATAGTTAAGGTTGAAACTTCAAGGTACAATGGGATGAGTTAAGGATGATGTTGTAAGGCAGTGGTTCTCAAACTAGGGCCGCCGCTTGTTCAGGGAAAGCCCTGGCTGGCCGGGCTGGTTTGTTTACCTGTGGCATCCGCAGGTTCGGCTGACTGCGGCTCCCACTGGCTGCGGTTCGCCGCTCCAGGCCAATGAGGGCTGCAGGAAGCGGCGTGGGCCGAGGGACGTGCTGGCCGCCCTTCCTGCAGCCCCCATTGGCCTGGAGCGGTGAACCGCAGCCAGTGGGAGCTGCGATCGGCCAAACCTGCGGATGTGGCAGGTAAACAAACCAGCCCGGCCCGCCAGGGGCTTTCCCTGAACAAGCGACGGCCCTAGTTTGAGAACCACTGTTGTAAGGGTCTCCAAACATTCGGTGATTTTACCATATCATCGGTACATGTGCTGCAACAGTTAAGCACAAAGAAGCAAATGAAGGAAAAAGTTTGAGAAAAAACACCCTTAATAAATGTATCATTTTAGTAAATGAGTGCTGATGCAAAATAGTCCATAATGGGCATATTATTATTTACCTTAGTCATTTCAATCTGTAAGTTTCAGGAGTGAAACAGACAAATATAACCTGGTAACAAATCCCTGAAAACGGGAATTTATAATGGAATCTCGGACAGACATTTTATTCCAGGACGTCTTTTGATAAGTATCTAAGATGTTTCAGTTATTAATCTGTATTACAATTGGTAACTAACTTCTTTTGGTTGATAGATGACATTTCTTAACATAAGTGAAATGACCACCAATGTCATATAGTCCTACAAAAGTAGAGTTTATATGGGAAATATGTTAAAGGAAGCGTATTTTTTCTGGTCTCTTTCAAAAATGTGCCATGAAAGAGAAACCTGAAATGAAATACAAGTTCAATTTAAAAACCAACCAACCAACCACGAACAATTGTTTTTCATCCACTGAGTAATATTTTTAAGCCCTAGTTGTCCTTGCTTTAGAAGGCATCAATGGTCTACTTCTTATACACTACTGTGTTAATTCTAAAACATACTAAAGCAAGCTGGGTGTGAAAGCAAAACATCTATTTCTTCCACACAGATCTTCTAAGTGAAACACAGAGTATGTGAAAAAGTGCCAAACACCTTCTTTTCAGCGTTTAGCAGATGACACTACAGGAGCTCGAAGTAAGATGTCCTTGAACAAAGACTTATTTCTCTTTACTCTTCTCTGCCAAAATAAAGACCTCCCTCAACTGTGCGTTATAACATCATGTGATACGTAACATAATGGTGCATCAAAAGGTCCATAACGCCACTATGCAACACTGTAATCAGCAAGGGATGAGGTGTGGAACACACTGTCAGAAGTCTTAAAAGAGCAACACTCCAATGCAGAAACTACAGAACCCGAACCACCAAAAAAGAAAATCAACCTTCTACTGGTGGCATCTGACTCAGATGATTAAAATGAACGTGCATCAGTCTGCAGTGCTTTGGATTGTTATTTAGCAGAACTGATCATCAGCATGGAACCATATCCTCTGGAATGGTGGTCGAAGCATAAAGGGGCATATGGATGTTTAGTATACATGGTACACAAATACCTTGCAATGCTGGTTATAACAGTGCCCTGCGAACACCTGTTCTCATTTTCAGGTGACACTGTAAATAGGAAGCAGACAACATTATCCCCCATAAATGTAAACAAACTTGTTTGTCTTAGTGATTGGCTGAACAAGAGTGGACTTGTAGGCTCTGAAGTTTTGCATTGTTTTATTTGAGTGCAGTTGTGTAAAAAAATAATAATTCTACACTTTTAAGTTGCACATTCTCAATAAAGAGATTGCACTGCAGTACTTGTATGAGGTGAATTGAAAAATACTATTTCTTTTATCTTTTTTACAGTGCAAATATTTGTAATAAAAATAATATAAAGCGAGCACTGCACACTTTGTATTCTGTGTTGTAATTGAAATCAATATCTTTGAAAATGTAGAAAACATCCAAATATTTAAATAAATGGTATTCTATTGTTTAACAGTGTGATTAAAACTGTGATTAATCTAGACTATTTTTTTAATCGTGTGATTAATATTTTTAATTGTTTTACTTTCTTAATGTTTACATAAAATTACATACATTAAATAATATTAAGCTAGATGTTTAAAATGTTAGGCATGTATTTCTAAACAATGAATTAATCAGATTTTTTTAAAACCCTGTTGATATGAAATATACTTTACAATTTTATATAATAGTATTAAACCTTGTGCCCTCAGTCAAGTATTAAAGGTTACCTGAAAAAGAAAATACTTCTCCATTTGGGTAGGCAAGAAGTTCTAAAGTTCACCTTACAGTCATATTCAGCTTGTCTAAATTCCTCAGATAACACTCTCTGAAGAGATCTTCAGATGTCCATCATTGAAGCATGAACATATAACTGCATGCAACAGAATACCTAGTTTTGGTCTGCAAAGGCCAAGCCGACTAAATTTCATTTCACCAACACAGGCCAATTCTAAGCAAGGAAGCCCTTAGGTCTTCCACAGAGTCGGGTTTGTGTCTTCTGCACCTCTCCATACTGCTTCTATATGCCCTTCTTACAATGGCAAGGGGATTCTACTGAACTTGCTTACAGAGTTTGCAGAGGTTCAGTGTTATGAGGTCTACAGGGTTTTTACACCGCAGTTCCAATTTTTTCCCATCTAGAGTCACTTTACAGATACTTAGAGCTTTTGGAACCACAACTGCCAGCTGCTCAACAACAAGAATTTCTACAACTTCAACAGGCTCACCATTCTGGCAGCTCATGGCACAGCCCTTGATTACCAAAAGTCTCTCATTGGCTGCTGGGGTTAGTGACTGGATATAGCATCCAATCAACACCTGCAATTGCTTGGTTTTGCACATAGCTTGGGTTACTTTTTGCCAACTCTGTCATAATACTCTGTGATAGTAAAAGGGCTGGTTTCTCTAATGTCAGGAAAGAAAGGTTTTATTTTCTGAAGTCCATGCTAATTTTATTTAAAGGATACTAACATTTCCCAACCATGTCTACCTGCTGGAGTGAGTGAGTGAGTGTGTAAAAAAGGTGGAATTGTCCAGAGTTGGCAATGAGGGAGCATTTACTATGGTATGTCGGATCCAAAGGACAGAAATATTTAAAGTAGCTGAAAATAAAATTAAAAGAACTCATTAAAAATAAAACAGAACCAGAGCTTTTAATACTTTCTTCTGCTGTTTCCTCATTCTTCTAGATTTATTATACAAGTTATTTTATCTGTTAATTTTAAATAGGAAAAATAACCCTAATATTCATAACAGAACATTTCAAATCACATCAGTGAAGGACTTCACCACAACATTTTTTGTTTTTAAACATAATTGTTGATTTCAAGTAATAAGGAATGGCAGGGAAGCTGTAACTGGAAGGGAACATGACCGACGAGTTAGCATAATAAACAAGGCAAAAAAATCAATCCCGTAACTCACAAATGCAATTGCAAAAGGCAAATTAAATTAACTTACTAACCAAAAATAACCTTTGCTTTCTTCGGAGGGGGTGGCTATACCTCAAAAGGAGAGGAGGAGAGCCTCAGACCATTAAAAATAGAAAATAATACACTCAGCTTTTCTTATCCATTTTAAAAGCTATTGAACAGAAATAATTATAGGAAGCCGAGCCCCATGAACTATGTAAATCATTGGTATCAGTACTGGAATAACAGACTCTGCTCAGTCTGAATAATAATTTGTTTTTAAACTAATATTGCAAAGCTAACATTTACACAACACAGATTGGCAGGAGAACTACCACCATCTCATAACATACTGTACAGCAATGATTGAATGCATGCAAGTAGATAGACAATTTAATTAGATTCCATACGTGAAGTATTTGGTCTCCAGCAAGGAGTCTTCCATCTCTGGCAATGATCCCATCCCGATAAACCTCTTGAATAACAATGTTGATCAAAGGAGTTTCATTGCCACCCACTATGCTAATTCCTAACTCAATATAAGGATTGGACCGGTGAATTTCAATTGTAGTGATTTCTCCTTCGGGCAAGGTAGGTGGCTGGTGGGTTGCTGACAAGTTTAAAGAAACAAATAAAGAAAGGTTAATATATTTTATACCCCAGTACATTTTCAACACTGCAAATTATTGGAGGACAATATAAGCACACAAGACGACAATGGTATAATACAAATAAAACAAATTGGATTGGCTCCACAGTTTGCTGAAACACCTTGGTTTATCTAAAAAGATAAAGACCTAGAATAAGTGATCAGTATCCATGCACTAAGAGAAAAGTTAGGTATTACTTTAAAAAGAGGATATTCAGAACCCTTTGGGACCTAACCTTTAAAAATAAATATCTTCCTTTTCATATATTTTTTTTTAGCAATTAGCCCTTCCTTAACCAGTTCCACAGGACAGCAACAGCTGTCACTGATTTACAAGGTCAGGGCAAGAAGGATGCACACCTCCAAACACAAACACAGACAGCTACAATGGAAGAGGAGGATGCTAATGAATTGGTGAGTACACAGGCTACAAACAGGAAAAGGAAGGGGAAAGACCACCTTCCTCTGTGGTAAGGCTCAGTGTTTCCTCTCTAATATCGCAGATGCTAGAGGTGTTACTGTTAGTTCGATGCAGATGGATGCAGGAGTTACTCAGTTGCCTTTTCGTTCGAACAGGACAGTATTCCATAGGTGAGAAGCCTGTTGATCCAGGGGAAAAAAATCTCATCTTAGAAACCAGATTCAGCAATTCCATAGAAAACATTGCCTCAATGTAGCTATCAGACCAGAACAGAGACATTAACATGCTCTACGTACCAGATAGCCTTGTGTTATAGCAGTATGATACTACTGCAGTAAAAACAGATAGATCTTTCCCATCTAATTGTGTTTTCATCCAAGTGCTACATTTTCAAGTAGAGAACTCTTTGGGGAGTTTAACTTTCCACTAAGGATCACTATAGGACAAGCACAGCAGCTGGAGATGTAGGGTTTGTTATTTGTTTGCAGGAGATAAACTTACAATTATGTCACTAAGTTTCTAGGTTTGATTTAGACAGATCATACAGAGAATTAAAAGACAAACATGACATACTGTCTGCTATTGTGCTCTCTTCAAAGGCAGGGTTGTCAAGGCCAGGCTCATCTGTCCATGAAGGAAGAGTGGTTGGTGTAAAGTTCTGATCCACTGGCACTGGCCCCGTCCCAGCATGGTCTGTATCTGGAGATAAAATGCCTGGGTGATCTATCAGATTAGGCCCATTTTCATTCTCAGCTTCTGTCTGCAGCTTGCTAGACTTCCTTTTCTCCAGTACAACCCTTCGATGGGAAGCTCCAGGACACCTAGAGATAGACCGTCATGTTACTTTCAAATATATATGAAAAGTGGCCATATTACATAGCACAAAAAGCTTGAACATTCCAGTCTCAAATTTCCTGCAACCCACTTCCAAGGCTCTCCAAGTCCCCAGCACCCACTCCTTCCATGTTCCCCAGTCACCAGTACGCCTTCCAGTCTATGTCGTACCAGTCTCTTGCTCCCCTTTCAGGCATCCTTTCATTTGCTGTCCATAGAATGTCCCCTTCCTCATTCCCAAGAATAGGTATCACAGTTCCATGCTACCCATTTCCTTACTCTGAGTCCAAGCCCTGCCCCCTTGTATGCCCCCTATCCAACTTCCCTCCACACTTCCCCTCCCATCACACCAATCCATGCCTGGAATAGGTAGTATATCAATTTATATTGCTTAACAATTTAAAGCCTGCTTCTGAGTCAGCTCTATATGAGCATGGCCAAGGCTGTAGCCAAAAAACAACGAATAAAGTGGGGGTGGGAAGGGAAGAAAAAAAATCCTACATCCTGCTGTCACTTGTGCGTGCATACGTTTTCTGAACAGAGCATTTCTCTACCCCAGGCTAGTATACAGGGAGCCAGAACCAGGGCTTTCTTCAGCATGGTTAAAAAGACAGCAAGCAACAGATAATTTCAGTCCTTAATTTACAAAGTTTCCTTTTAATTAGTAAACAGCTTTTTATTTTCCCAGCTCCTCTTGCTTCCTGACCTATGGTTGGGTTGGAAGCGCACATTTTTCCTTCCCACCAACCCCCACTTGGTCCTTCCCTCAGCATTCCACAACCTCCTCTTTATAACTGCTTTAATGAGCCCCTAGTTAAGCTGGTCCCAATCTACTTTAGTGTTTTTTTGTTTGTGAGTTTCCTATGTGTTGTTTATATGCTTTTCATGTACATTGGTGATCAGGTCTGGACCTGGGTCTTATGTCTCATCCGTAAGATGGAGTGTTGCCAACTTTCATGATTTGATTGTGAGACTCATGTGTTGTGCTAGCAGAATTGGGTGGATTTGTGCAGGTGGCAGCCAAATAATCCCCCATCTGTGCAGTCTCCCTCATACAACCAATGCAAATGTGGCAAGCAAATTAGCTATAGAGTAGAAAGCGGTGATTGGTTGAGTTACCTGATCTCCCAATGGTCTAGGACTCTAGGCATGGCATAGATACATGTCATGATGATACTGCAGCTGCACACTTCATAGTGTAATTAGTAAAGTCAAATTGCTGAAAACGTAAACATTGGCAGGCAATAGACCATGAACCCCAGTGATGATTCTACCTGGTGATACTCTGAACAAAAGAGTTCTTAACCGTACTTGTAGCTACTTCCATCATTTCACACTAGCACAGACACTTTAGGCTTCAGAGTGACATTCCTGGAATCTTATTATCTAGCTAAAGGGATTTATCATGCACAGTATGTGTCCATTATTCAAATATTGAAGCCACGCACAAGTTATGCAGGCCATTCCAGACAAGTGGCCAATACAAATTCCAGACCATACCACACACCTTGACCTATTTTGTTTATTCCAAATATTTTGGAGAAAAGCTATTTTTGGACCCCAATCTTGAAATCTGTTGTATATGGGTAGCCCGCAGTGCTCAGGCAGAGCCCTGCTGAAGTCAGTGGGTCTCTGTGAGGGCACAGGGATCTATCTTCACACAACAAGTTACATGATCAGAACTTTGAATGTAAAATGCATTTGACTGGCATTATTTTTCATATTATATTATCTGTAAAATCAGGCCATCTTACTTATGAATAATAGAAGAGGTGGTATTAGCGTTTATACAAATCTCCAAAATGATCTAAAATAGATTTTCCTTAGATCAGGGTGCCATGTGTGTAAGAGGTAACGTAACATGACCTACCAGGACTAGGAGTGGCAGGTCAGCAGCAAACCCATGCATTGGCAGTATCTATTTGCTTTGGGAGTGCGGGGGGTGGGAGGACCCAAAAAACCTTCGGGAGGAGGGTTTACATTGTGGAGATCTCTCTTCCCTTCACCCTTTCTTGTGCAAGCTCGGAAGCTGGAGGAGGGGTAAGAGCAGCGATAAGGACCCCTTCTCTCAGTAGCCAGGAGGGTCAAGAGTGGGAAAAGACACAGAAAGCTCCTTCACCCTTCCAGCAATTGGAGAAGTTTTCGACGGCTAGAAAAACTTCAAATGCATCAGACACTTAGTAGCTAGAGGCAGATATGAAAGATGAGCCCCCAAAACAAGGACCAGGGACAGCATCCTGGTAGGAATCCCAGCACTTTTCTCCTTCCCAGCAACTGAGTGTGTCAATGAGCTAGGCTTTCACCAGGGCATCTTGTTGATGGGAACACAGCTTGTAACCTAGGTGAGAATAGGTGTTAAGCAAGGAACTTTCAAACTCCAAATCCTTTGGATTTTCCTTACTTTTGAATAGTAGGTTTTGCATTTATTGCAATGATTTTTTCTGTAAATCTTGCTGTGGTCATGTATGAATCTGCACATTAAATATGCTGGTTTCCAGCCACTGAGCAACTCAAAAGGTTCTTCTCTGGAAAAAGAGGCTTTTATAAAAGGTTTAAATTTAACTTTCCACAAAAAATTCCTTTTAAAGGAAGCTCTAAATGTTCAGTAATGGGCAATATAGAGGAGTGTTGTGGTACCTTCTGAAGTGGCTACACTTTTTAATACTGGATGGCAGGTTATGGCTCAGCTTAAATAAAAATAATAATAAAAAAACCCCTAAGACAGGGCCTAAATCTGCACGTGAACCAAAACTGCATTGTGCTGGACCAAAGCTGTACCTTTCTAGAATGGAATTTGATTAGATCTGAAGACTCAGTAAGTTGAATTTAAATCAAATATTGCAGAAGTTCAGTAAGGTTTTCTTGGACCTGTGTCAAGTAAATGATCTTTGATAAAGAAGGTACCAATACCATTGTTAGTTATTAAACATTAACAAGATTTCTAAATACCACATGCTCAGGAAATAAAGTACAAGAGATCCTTACAAGGGCTGACTCTAAGGGGCTGTGGTTCCCAAGCAAATTTGATGAGCCTGAAAAACTGATAAATCAAGAGGATTCTAAGTAAGCAATGAGGTAACGGGGTGATTATTGACCATGATATCATCAAATTTGTGCCTCATGCTTCTAATATCCTTGATAGAGTGGTTTGCATTTACCACACACTCTGGAATTGACTGGTGGATATTATGAAATTTCTTGCAGCCTTTCTGCTTAAATAAAGCCAATTACTATTTCACTGGAAATTTTAATTCTGAGTTTGAATGTTTTTAACAGTGAGGCTAACCAAGTATATTTCATTTCTTAGAAAAGCAGGCATGTTCATCCGAGTGCTCACTGAAGCTGGTTTGTAATATCTATGACAAAGATTACAACAGTACTGAATTGTACATTTATCTAACATTTAATAATCAGTAGTAGTATTTTATTGGATTCTCCAATCCATATCAAATCAAATTCAAGCTACGCATTTATTGCACCTTTTATGCCAGTAGAGGTACTTTACATAAAGGTATTCCACTGTTTACAAATAAGCTATATTGAAAAACAACTTTATCAGGTAAAAAAATGTGTGAAGGAAGGTTATCAGTAGCACACATCAACAGAAAGGCAATTCCTTATGCATGGTACACAGCAACTGAAATGCTGTTACAGACTGATTGATGGGAATAAATAATGATTCAGTTTAAATTAGACCTCATTATATGACTTGTGCATTAGACACACAATGATTTTATATAGTGCTGAAGTGTATATGCATGGTGTTTTACACCAAAGTGACAAGTCCCTGCCATGAGGAGCTTACAATCTAAATTTGACTCAATTGAGAAAGAAATGACAAACAATTGAAGAGGGCTAGGAAGGTTGAGGACAACAATAGTGAAATATCATTTGAACTTAATGTTTGGGATGCATCTTGTTACTTTCTCTGTTTTGTTTTTTTAAAATAATGGATTTAATATATTAGGGTTATACGGTTAGCCAAATCAGATTTTTTTTCACCATCATGTAGGTTAGATATGATCCTGCTCTGAATGAAGAAAAACAGTGAAAGTTGCTGTCAGAAAGCTGAATGCAAATTAAAAATAGTTATTTCACTGGGGGAGGGGGTTGGATCTTTTTCCAGAGAAAGGCAAAGATAGAACTTTATGGAAACCTCCACTTTCAATAGTATATGTAATACATTGTTTAAAATGTAAAACGCGATGCATGTGTAAAAGAGGCTTGAATGAAATAACATCTATGGGTGGAAAAAAATCCTGGCATCAGATGCATTCCATATTTCTCTTTTATCAATCACCTCCCTCTCTTCATTTAATGCTTGACCATATTCCTCTCCTATTTTAATTTTAAGACCCCCCGAACCCTTTAAAATGTGACACTTATTAGGGGCTACATATTCACAAAGCTTTCCAACACACTAACTCATTATCACTTTCATACTTCAGTTCCTCACACCAAATGTGATGGGATGCCCACATTTTTGTCCATGACTCAAATTTGACTCTGCTTGGCCCCATTTCAGTTCATGAAATAAGAGTAATAATAAAACCCTCTAAATATTTTCTAAACAATATTTCAGGATATTTTCAGTAAACAAAAACACTGAAATGCCACCCAATGAAACAAAGAACGTTAATATTCTTATTACAGAAAATAACAGTTTACATTTAAGAGTGAAATACACCTAGACAACACAACACAACAGTACTACTAGATAGTACTTTCCTTAATTGTTCATATAGCAGACATTGGGGGGTCAAGTTACATAACTTCATCCTCTCTAATTTGGTGGCTTGTATTTTTTTCCCCTTTGTCTTGCTCTCCTTTCAATATTTCAAGATACTGGAGAGTAAGAGGGGAAAGAAATATAAAATTACCAGGTCTATTTTAATTTGTGTAGCAGAAGGCCCCAAACCTTCGAGTAATATCTTACAAAGAAATCTCAGAGACCATCACTTCACCAGGGTAGCAAGTACAGTATATATTCAGGCAGTCTGGTGAAGTTTTAAGGTTTTCATCTCCATCTTTTATGGGTCACCAAACCCTCAGAAATAATCCCTTTCAGTTGCTCTATAGCAACCATTTTTACTCCTCACCCTATAACCACATTATAGCACAGTGCACTGCAGCTCAGATCCTTTCAGGTCTAGAGACAGACCACAGAGCAAAAACAAGGAAGATACTCCAGAATTTATGCCTCCCAGGTTATATAGAACAATTCACCCTGTCTGCTCATCCTGCAAAGTGCTAAGTGTCTTATTCCCATTCACTGGGAGTTGACGATGCTCCAAAACTCACAGGATGAAACATGCAGAAAAAAATCAAACCTTTTATAAGTGCATCTGCTACCCCTCAAAAAAACAAATGAACAAAAAACACAAAACAAAACAAAAAAAACCCACAGTTAAATAATGAGCGACTGACCTGTTCCAGGAATAGATTTGTCAATAAACATCTTCTATACTGAATATTTGACAAAATTTGACTGTATAAAATCCACACAATTTAGACTGCTACTAAAACTATCCTAACAATACAAAAAGCTGTACTAGACAATCCCCTCCATTGCTCACCTGTTTTTGAGATGTGCTTCCAGCTCACATCGTTGCATTACCTCCTGACATACTGAAGAAAAGGGACACAAAACAAACAATTTGTCTAACAGTTTATGTACGAGAATACTGGATTTTTTGCAGAGTTTAAAATGAAGCTTTTTTCGATCCAATGGACAGAAATCCTTCTCCTGCAAAAAGTTCCTTAGGCACTTGTAGCAGAACGTGTGTCCACAAGGGGTGTCTAATGGCTGCAACAAAGGCTGAAGGCAAATATGGCAGACCAAGTCATCATCCACTTCATTCTGATAGTTGTACAAATGATTCTCCCTTGTCCAATGTTGCTGGCCACATTCAAAACATAGAGGGTTCAAGGAGGAAGTCTGCTCTACTGAAACCATCTCATCATTTGTAGTACCCATTGTACAACATATGGTGTAGGTTTTGTTTCTTCATCAGTTAGACTAGCTTTGTAGTCTTGATTTTTTACAGTAAGGTGACTTATTCTTATGCTCTTTAATGAAAGGTCATTTTTCTGCAACATACAAGAAAATTAAAGTTATTCACGCTGTGTTACAAATGAGCAATATGAAAACGCTGATTAGAACAGTTTAAATTGCTCCAGTTTATCAAAATATATATTGAAAATGCCCTAATTAGCTTAACGGATATACATTTTATTTTTCTTTCCAGAAATCCATCATTAAAGGGTTAAAATGAAACAAATCCATAACATTAATTTTGTATTACAATAGAAACATTTTATTGCTATGTAACAGCTGTAATGTAATACAATTCCAATTATTGTATAGCTTCTGCCTCCAAGAGGATTGTGGGTTAACAGCAAGGACATGTTATACTATTTTAGATTAAAACAAAACAATTAGTTTTACCGAGTAAGAAAAATATATTCCATTGTGAGCTGAGGTTATGATGCCAATTAATCAAATGTGTACTATAATACACGAAGAAATGTGTTTCTTCAGCAACCTCAATAGCTGCTCAGTCTGTGACATCCCATTAACAAAACACTGTCCACATGCCACATTGTGCCTATACGTTTTTAATTAGTGGATTACTGCACACTGAGGTTAACTCATTCTACCCAATATTATACATTTGATTCAAAATGTAATGAAAGGCCAGGAAAAAGTTATGTAAACTGATTATAAATTGTGCATAACGATTGACACCACACAATCAGTATGTTTGCTTTTACATCTAATGAAGTTAAACATACAGCACACTCACACAGAAAGAATTTACACCTAGCTAGGATACTTAAATGTCAGTCAAAGCCAATATTTAGTCCTTGCTTATAATAAGATTTATTTTCCAAACCTTAAGCATGTTAACTTTATTAATAATTAACGAGATGTACATGGTTAGGAAACAACACAGCCAAGTCACCCTATCACAGAAGTTTCAGTTCTACAATAGACCTAAAGTTCATACAACACTGATTGGGCTCCTCACCAATTCTTATTCCAATTTTCTCTCCCTTTACAAAAAAATGACTAACTACTTCTGCCTCCAATTAGCTTTGTGACTACAAATGTTTTTGTTTAGATAACAAATCTAATGTATTTTAGGCTTTTTATTCCTCTACACAGCTGTTAGTCCTTCGAAATTTTCCTGCATTGCAAAAACTTTTTTTCTTTTTTTGCTAGACTGCACATTCTAACCTCACACAGCCAAAGAGAAGACTTTGGGCACATTTTGCAAGGATTACGATATTCTTTGATGAAAAAAGGATTAAATAGTAATTTGTAATTCAGGATTCTATACTGCTGTGGAAACTGATGCTCCTCATTGCCCTATCTTGTAGTAGATAATATGCACCCTCTGCAAAGGATTTCATGAGGGAATAGGATAACAGTTCTTTGTTACTAGTGACAGTGAACGCAGAACTAGATGACATGGAAACCAACCTTAAATATATTACGTAAGAAATCTGACAAAAATTTGACAAGAAATCTTGTGTCTAGGGCCTTTCTCTATACAGAATGTAATTCCCTTAACTTTATGTCCACACTGGTCAATAAAACAATATAGAAGATGTGAGACTTTCCTAAGGACTGCTCTCTACACACAAAATCAGTCAAAACATAAATGTGTAGGGTCACTTTCCAAAGAATAATTTGGGAATTTACAAAATTATATTATCTGACTGCTTAGTGTTCCAGGAACATCCAAACAGAATGCATCAGGTACCGCATGTTCTAACATTCCAGAGATTTCTATGGAACATTAACAGATAGCAGCAGCACAACAGCGGCAGTGGAGGATGAGTAGTGAAGCCATTTATAAGCAGATATTTTCTGATTCCAACTATTAATTACAATCAACACCATTCCTATTCTTTAAACACCCAAGCATATAATAAGCAGGAAAAATCTCAGTCAACACAGCTCAGGAAATGTCACTGGACCAATCTGGTTACTTCAACAACGTTGGCTTCATAATCAATGTCTTGACACCAGACGTCATGATTTCTGTGTTAAAAAAAAAGACAGGTCAAGTATCTCACTGGAGCTTATTAAAAACGTAAGTGACTTGTACTGCACTCCTTTACAGAACTCAGTCCAGCATCACATGATGAATATACCAGTGAGATACTTGATAAGGCAAAAAATGACATCATCAGCCTTTGGGAGAGAGGATGATAAAAACTGGGTGACTGGGCAACAAAATGGCAGATGAAATTCAATGTTGATAAATGCAAAGTAATGCTGTTACCTCTCAGGAAAGATATCTTGGAGTCATTGTGGCTAGTTCTCTGAAAACATCCACTCAATGTGCAGCGGCAGTCACAAAAGCTAACAATGTTGGGAATCATTAGGAAAGGGATAGATAAGATGACAGAAAATATCATATTGCCTCTATATAAATCCATGGTACGCCCATATCTTGAATACTGCATGCAGATCTGGATGCCCCATCTCAAAAAAGATATATTGGAATTAAAAAAAAGGTACAGAAAAAGGCAACAAAAATGATTAGGGGTATGGAACAGCTTCCATATGAGGAGAGATTAATAAGACTGGGACTTCTCAGCTTGGAAAAAAGAGATGACTAAGGGGGGATATGATAGAGGTCTATAAAATCATGATTGGTGTGAAGAAAGTAAATAAGGAGGTCTTATTGACTCCTTCTCATAACACAAGAACTAGGGGTCACCAAATGAAATTAATAGACAGCAGGTTTAAAACAAACAAAAGGATGTATTTCTTCATGCAACACACAGTCAACCTATGAAAGTCGTTGCCAGCGGATGTTGTGAAGGCCAAGACTATAACAGGGTTAAAAAAAGAACTAGATAAGTTCATGGAGGATAGGTTCATCAATGACTATTAGCCATGATGGGCAGGGATGGTGTCCCTAGCCTCTGTTTGCCAGAAGCTCGGAATGAGCGACAGGGGATGGATCACTTGATGATTACCTGTTCTATTCATTCCCCCTGAAGCACCTGGCATTGGCCACTGTTGAAAGACAGGATACTGAGCTAGATGGACCTTTGGTCTGACCCAGTATGGCTGTTCTTATATAAAAAGAATTCTTAATATAAGAGGAGCCTTTAAAAAAAAACGCATCAGCACATAGAAGTGAATAAAAAAGTAAAGCAAGAAAGCTCTTAAGGGTACAAGTGTATGTAGGGTTTTCACTGTGCTATCCAGAACTATCACAAAAACTTTTGTTTTACAAAAAGTGTAAGGTCAGGTCATAGATAAACATTATTTATTCAAGTTACACTTATGTAGACACACCTGAGCACCAGGGGGTGCTTCTGGTAATGATATTCCAGTGGGACTCTGAAGAATGACATACAGATCACAGTACTTTTAGGAATAATATAATGGTGTTCTTATGATGCTGAAGTCACCACGACTCATGGATAACTCCAGTACAATGGCATGAGATCTCACAGCTCTGGTGATAGCCATGGCACACACATGGATCTGATCTGCAGCACAGATGTTAAGTATGCCTTGCCACAATCTGATCACCTCTTCCATGCTGAGGTCTGGGTCTTGTTCCACCTTTCTAACAGGGTGATGGACCCGCTTTGACGTTCCACCCGTGGGGACTCATGGATTCTGTTGGGTTCCAGAACTTTTGAGCAGAGAACAGTATCCAGACATTGGATCAGTGTGTTGACAGGCTTGTAATACGTTACAACTACTTGTTGTCTAAAACTGTTCTTGTGCATATCTTTTCCCTATGCATCCTCCTCTTGGGTCACCATGGGTTATTGATGGACAGCATGGCTGACAGATGGCACAAGAGTGAATGAGACTGGAGTACTGATGGCAAGATATTGGTATTGAATCCATTACAACCTCAGGGATTTGTGATCTGTGGTGGAGACTAAAAGATCTTTTTTCTCATTCACCCTATTTTCTCTGAAGTCCCCAATAGAGGGACTGTTCTGGTTATGGAGGCTACCTCACTAAGAGGCACTGCCTTCAACTGCAAAAAGAAGAACAGGAGTACTTGTGGCACCTTAGAGACTAACAAATTTATTAGTTAGATCATGCCTTCAACTGGTTTCAGTTTCTGCTGCAGAGTTCTGCAGATAGGAGCAATTTAATAAATAACAATATATTATCTCTGATCTCATGGAGGCTGAGTCAGAGGAGGTAGCAGACCCTTCTTGCTTTCTTAAATATTATGTTCGTTTGCAAATGGAGGCTCCAAGAGAGAGCCATTTCCCAGTGTTGAAAGGATCCATTCCCTCCATGGCTAGTGAAAACCAATATTCAATATCCTATATTCAGCATGACTATGTACAACTGCTGAGATGTCTCCTAGAATTATAGTATCAGCTAAAGAAAATTGCAAACAAGTGAAAAAAAGATATGGGGGGGGGAGGGAGCAAAAGTTTTCCAACTTTGTCTTTCAACACATATAATTCACCAGAAAATAAGTCTCCTGGGATTTTTGTGAGACAGCAGAATAGCACAGGTGACGCCCTTGTCCCTTTGGCAACAGCCTGTGACTGGATATCCAACTGTACAAAAAATATTTAGCAAGCTCTTTTTTGTCTAAAATTGGTCTTACTTATGGGTCTTTTGGTTCTGATTTACGGATATAACTACAGTTCTCAGTGAATCTTCTCAAATTCCTGCATTGGCTTAAAATGTTATCTGTTTGGGTTGGGGACAGGGGGCATCGATTCAAATGCCATGATTTTCACCTTTTTTCCTGGAGCAATACTATAAAACATGAAGTGAACAAGGCTCACAGCAATAGCTGCTCCCTCCCTCACATTAGTGTACTGTCCCCTTCATGCATGACAAAGAACAGACTATTACTTCACAGTTTAAAGAGGACTATGTCTTTCTAAATGAATGCCTGGAAAAATGTAAACTAGCCAGGTTCAAAAATCTCACATTAAGAAATTATTGGAGGATTAGTTCTTAATTATTATTTATCATTTTTTAAACTGTACAATAGATTTTTCCCTGGTTCCAAAATACAAATATATTTTTAAAAATTAACTGTTTTACATTCTCAGTTCCTCTTAAAATGTTC